GCCTGGGTGGCTCAGTCGTTAAGTGTCTGCCTTCGGCTCAGGTCATGATCCCAGGGTCCTGGGATCGAGCCCCGCATCGGGCTCCCTGCTCTGCAGGAAGCCTGCTTCTCCCTCTCCCACTCCCCCTGCTTGTGTTCTCTCTCTCACTGTGTCTCTCTCTGTCAAATAAATAAATAAAATCTTAAAAAAAAAAAAGAATACCTAGATTGCTGTGTTGGAAGCAGAACTTTAAAATTTTTTGCTCTATTTTCTTCTTTAAATTTTTTGTTTTTAAAATATATTTTAACCTAATTGTAGTGTATATATAATTTTGTTTCTTCATTTTCCCCCATTTCCCAAACATTTTTCATATATTTGAATACTCTTCACAAATGTCCTTATTAGTTGCATCATATTTCACTGAATACTATTCCACATCATTTATATATTTCTAATTTTTTCAACTTATATTTAACTTGCTATGAATTTCCTCATTGTGAGCTTTTTCAGATGTTAGATTAAGTCTTTAAAATAGATTTCCCAAATATAAAAGCATATGAATATTCTAAAATTGTATACCATCAATTCAAAATACTATAATAAGAATTCTGTTTAAAGAATAAATGCAGGGACGCCTGGGTGGCTCAGTCAGTTAAGTGTCTGCCTTTGGCTCAGGTCGTGATCCCAGGGTCCTGGGATTGAGTCCCGCATCCGGCTCCTTGCTCAGCAGGGAGCCTGCTTCTCTCTCTTTCTCCTGCTCCCCCTGTTTGTGCGCTCTCTCTCTCTCTGACAAATAAATAAATAAATCTTTAAAAAAAAATGAATAGGGGCGCCTGGGTGGCTCAGTCGTTAAGCGTCTGCCTTCGGCTCAAGTCATGATCCCAGGGTCCTGGGATCGAGCCCCGCATCGGGCCCCTGCTCCGCGGAAAGCCTGCTTCTCCCTCTCCCACTCCCCCTGCTTGCGTTCCCTCTCTTGCTGTGTCTCTCTCTGTCAAATAAATAAATAAAATCTTTAAAAAAAAAATGAATAAATGCATATATTGAGGTATTCTCCTAGACTGAATTTTTGTTAGTGCTCATTTCTTGTTAAGCATCATGTATATTTTAAATATTTTTAAAAATTTAGTAGATATCAAGTTATCTTTTTTTTTTTTTAAAGACTTCATTTATTTATTTTGACAGAGAGAGACACGGCGAGAGAGGGAACACAAGCAGGGGGAGTGGGAGAGGGAGA